TCAACGCCTTCGATCCGGGACTCAAACCATGAGCCCGATGAGGCCGAGTACGCGGCAGCAGCCTGTGCGGCTGTTGAAAGCGTTGTCTCTGCACTCGTCGGGCACCGTCCTCCCGATCCCTTGAGACGGGTTGATCCCAGTCTTGAGGGAACTGGCACTGATCGACTCTTCTCTTTGTCACTTGCCCCGCGTCTTATTGAGCCAACAGTATCTGCTTGCCGTACTCTTCCAGCCAGTGGTATTCGTAGATCTTTCCTTCACATTGACGGCCTCCAGGCAGATATTGGTCGAGACGAAGAAGATGGAGAAGAAGAGGATGGTGAAGAAGACGAGGATGATGAGGAAGAGGAAGAAGAAGGAGCTACACTCAGAGGTGGAAATTTTCATGTTGATCACTCCTCTCTGTCCACTAATGGTCTCTTAAAGTCAGTTGGGGAATCCGATCTTGGCTCTCCTAGCATCCCTGGTCGTTCTTTATCCGGTGCACTCATAGCACATTCCCAAAGTCAGCAACAGCAGCAACAGTTGCAATCGGCTGTTGCTACAACAGCTTGTCTAATGGCACCGAATGAACATTTTCCCTGCTCTGTTTGTGGTAAGCCGTTTCAAGCCAAGGCATTGCTACTCAAACACAGGATAGTGCACGATGAGCCAAAGCACATTTGCAACACTTGTGGCCGGTGCTTTGTTCGCGAGGACAAATTGAAGCGACATGTGATGTCGATACACACTCTGGAGAAGCCGCACGTTTGCACCATCTGTACAAAAGCCTTCTCTCGAAAGTATGTGTATTGCATTATTTTAAGCCGTTTATTCGAGTTAAAATTAACTTTCGATTTATTAAAGTGCTCAGTTTAGTTCGTCAGGCTTAAATTTAGTAGATATTGGCATATCCTTTTTTGTTTTGAAATCTATTTGGCTACCTTTCATGCCCGGATCCCATAAACTCTGAAAAATTCGTGTGTTTCAGCTCATTCTGACATATCCACTATAACCATCCTAGTTTAAGCTCACTTCAAATATCCCTTAGATTCAATTGAAAGAGAATATCAAGAAAGAATTTTTTATTATTTTACAAAGTCGTGCGGATTGTAAGCTCTTCTCGTCGTTCTACATTCTGAGTATCCGTTCTGCCCTAGCCTATCAGATTACCTATAACCTCTAATCACGCCTTCACTGTCACAATATTTTGATTGCTTAATAAAATGTGATTGGTGCCCCTTTTTTTAACGGCTTTCATGAGAACTCTCTGCACTCCACGCTGGCCTTCTCACCGCCCTT